GTCCCAGGAGGTTACACAATGGGTTGAAGAGGATTACAAGGGAGAATAGGAATAGAAAGAACTTGCAGCCAGAGGGAACAGGGGATAGACTGGAGAATAGCACAGTCACTAGGAAAAGGCAGGTCTACGTGATCAGGGACTCTTTACTGAGAAGGATGGACAGGCCTGTAACCAGAGCTGATCCAGAGAATAGAAGGGTGTGATGTCTTCCAGGTGCTAAGATATGAGATGTAGACCTGAGGTTGAAAAGGATCCTAAAGGGAGTGGGAAAGAATCCCCTAATTATCCTTCATGTGGGAACAAATGATACCGGTAGATTCTCGCTGGAACGTATCAAGGGAGACTATGCTAGGCTGGGGAAGACGCTTAAGGAAATCGAGGCTCAGGTGATCTTTAGTGGGATTCTGCCTGTTCCTAGAGAAGGGCAACAAAGGTGTGACAAGATTATGAGTATCAACAGATGGCTTAGGCAGTGGTGCTATAAGGAGGGCTTTGGGATGTATGGCCACTGGGAGGCATTCATGGACAGAGGACAGTTCTCTCAGGATAGACTTCATCTGAGTAGGGAAGGAAATAGACTTCTAGGATGGAGGCTGGCACAACTGATTAAGAGCGCTTTAAACTAGGAATTTGGGTGAGATGGTTGGGAGATGTCCAGGTAATCTCCACACCGGATTTTCGCATTGAGAGGGAAGAAAACAAAGTAAGAAAGATACAGCCGTGGGTAGGAGAATGGACATAAGGAGGAAGGGCAGTGTGGATACCAGTCTAATAGGTCATACTGGCTGTAGAATCACCGTGCCTAATCGGGTACAGAATGTGAGCGAGGCCAAACAGCAAAAATTAAGATGTTTGTACACCAATGCAAGGCGCCTAGGTAACAAAATGGAGGAACTCGAGCTACTGGTGCAGGAAGTGAAACCAGATATTGTAGGGATAACAGAAACATGGTAGAATAGAAGTCATGACTGGACTACAGGTTTTGAAGGGTATGTGCTGTTTAGGAAAGACAGAAATAAAGGTAAAGGTGGTGGAGTAGCATTGTATCTCAATGATGAGGTAGAATGTAAAGAAATAAGAAGCAATGGAATGGATAAGACAGAGTCCGTCTGGGCAAAAATCACATTGGGGAAGAAAACTACTAGAGCCTCCCCTGGGATAGTGCTTGGGGTGTGCTATAGACCGCCGGGATCTAATCTGGATATGGATAGAGCCCTTTTTAATGTTTTTAATGAAGTAAATACTAATGGAAACTGCGTCATCATGGGAGACTTTAACTTCCCAGATATACACTGGAGGACGAGTGCTAGTAATAATAATAGGGCTCAGATTTTCCTAGATGCGATAGCTGATGGATTCCTTCATCAAGTAGTTGCTGAACTGACTAGAGGGGATGCCATTTTAGATTTGGTTTTGGTGAGTAGTGAGGACCTCACAGAAGAAGTGGTTGTAGGGGACAATCTTGGTACAAGTGATCATGAGCTAATTCAGTTCAAACTGAATGGAAGGATAAACAAAAATAAATCTGCGACTAGGGTTTTTAATTTCAAAAGAGCTGACTTTCAAAAATTAAGGAAATTAGTTAGGGAAGTGGATTGGACTGAAGAATTTATGGATCTAAAGGCAGAGGAGGCCTGGGATTACTTTAAGTCAAAGCTGCAGAAGCTATCGGAAGCCTGGATCCCAAGAAAGGGGAAAAAATTCATAGGCAGGAGTTGTAGACCAACCTGGATGAGCAAGCATCTCAGAGAGGTGATTAAGAAAAAGTAGAAAGCATACAGGGAGTGGAAGATGGGAGGGATCAGCAAGGAAAGCTACCTTATTGAGGTCAGAACATGTAGGGATAAAGTGAGACAGGCTAAAAGTCAAGTAGAGTTGGACCTTGCAAATGGAATTAAAACCAACAGTAAAAGGTTCTATAGTCATATAAATAAGAAGAAAACAAAGAAAGAACAAGTTGGACCGCTAAACACTGAGGATGGAGTGCAGTTAAGGATAATCTAGGCATGGCCCAATATCTAAACAAATACTTTGCCTCAGTCTTTAATAAGGCTAATGAGGATCTTGGGGATAATGGTAGCATAACAAATGGGAATGAGGGTATGGAGGTAGATATTACCATATCTGAGGTAAAAGCGAAACTCGAACCGCTTAGTGGGACTAAATCGGGGGCCCAGATAATCTTCATCCAAGAATATTAAAGGAATTGGCACATGAAATTGCAAGCCCATTAACAAGAATTTTTAATGGATCTGTAAACTCAGAGGTTGTACCGTATGATTGGAGAATTGCTAACACAGTTCCTATTTTTAAGAAAGGGAAAAAAAGTGATCCGGGTAACCACAGGCCTGTTAGTTTGACATCTGTATATGCAAGGTCTTGGAAAAAATTTTGAAGGAGAAAGTAGTTAAGGACATTGAGGCCAATGGAAAATGGAACAAAATACAACATGGTTTTACAAAAGGTAGATCGTGCCAAACCAACCTGATCTCCTTCTTTGAGAAAGTAACAGATTTTTTAGACAAAGGAAACGCAGTGGATCTAATTTACCTAGATTTCAGTAAGGCGTTTCATACCATGCCACATGGGGAATTATTAGTTAAATTGGAAAAGATGGGGATCAATATGAAAATTGAAAGGTGGATAAGGAATTGTTTAACAGGGAGACTACAGTGGGTCCTACTGAAAGGTGAACTGTCAGGCTAGAGGGAGGTTACCAGTGGAGTTCCTCAAGGATCAGTTTTGGGACCAATCTTATTTAATCTTTTTATTACTGACCTCGGCACAAAAAGTGGGACTGTGCTAATAAAGTTTGCAGATGATACAAAGCTGGGAGGTACTGCCAATTTAGAGAGAGACCAGGATATCATACAGGAAGATCTGGATGACTTTGTAAATTGGAGTAATAATAATAGGATGAAATTTAATAGTGAGAAGTGTAAGGTCATGCGTTTAGGGATTAATAACAATAATTTTAGTTATAAGCTGGGGCTGCATCAATTAGAAGTAACAGAGGAGGAGAAGGACTTTGGAGTATTGGTTGATCACAGGATGACTATGAGCAGCCAATGTGATATGGCCATGAAAAAAGCTAATGCGGTCTTGGGGTGCATCAGGCGAGGTATTTCCAGTAGAGATAAGCTCTGGTCTCCCATGTTTAAGAAGGATGAACTCAAACTGGAACAGGTACAGAGAAGGGCTACTAGGATGATCCGAGAAATGGAAAACCTGTCTTATGAAAGGAGACTCAAGGAGCTTGGCTTGTTTAGCCTAACCAAAAGAAGGTTGAGGGGAGATATGATTGCTCTCTATAAATATATCAGAGGGATAAATACCGGAGAGGGAGAGGAATTATTTAAGCTCAGTACCAATGTGGACACAAGAACAAATAGATATAAACTGGTCATCGGGAAGTTTAGAATTGAAATTAGATGAAGGTTTCTAGCCATCAGAGGAGTAAACTTTTGGAATAGCCTTCCAAGGGAAGCAGTGGGGGCAAATGACCTATCTGGTTTTAAGATTAAACTCGATAAGTTTATGGAGGAGATGGCATGATGGGATAACATGATTTTGGCAATTAATTGATCTTTAAATATTCATGGTAAATAGGCCCAATAGCCTGTGATGGGATGTTAGATGGGGTAGGATCTGAGTTACTACAGAGAATTCTTTCCTGGGTATCTGGCTGGTGAATCTTGCCCATATGCTCAGGGTTCAGCTGACTGCCATTTTTGGGGTCAGGAAGGAATTTTCCTCCAGGGCAGATTGGAAGAGGCCCTGGAGGTTTTTCGTCTTCCTCTCTAACATGGGGCACAGGTCACTTGCTGGAGGATTTTCTGCTCCCTGAAGTCTTTAAACTATGATTTGAGGACTTCAATAGCTCAGACATAGGTGAGAGGTTTATCGCAGGAGTGGGTGGGTCAGATTCTGTGGCCTGCATTGTGCAGGAGGTCAGACTAGATGATCATAATGGTCCCTTCTGACCTTAATATCTATGAATCTATGAATCTATAAGGGCAAAAGGGAATAGAAAAAATATGCTGTATAAACATAATTGGATCACAATAGAATGTGCTTCCAAGTGTGTTTTGCTGTGCCAATAGCTTTAAGGAAACCTCCCCTTCTAGACTCTAGAGTAACATCATATTTAAGAGAATTACTCTTCACTAACTGAACTCACACTTTAAAAAAAAGAAAAAGACCTTAGGGGACCTTCCTTTGGGATCAATTCCAGCCCCCTTTAAAAATGTAAAACTAATTTCAACTCACTGAAGGAAACCATTTAGTTTATCACTCCTCTTCCAAGATTTTTTCCTATTCAGACTAGGATCCAAGCAGAACAGAAGTCAAATGTGCACTGAGGAAAAGAGGAAAACAGTAAATACCATGTATTTTTCTAGAAAGAAAATAACATATTTAACGTACATCTGTAGAACTCAAAGCTGCCGCTTGGAAAAATAGCAGAACAAAAGGACAGGATCTTAATTAATTCTGGAAAAGGATGACACAGAATGCAGGCTTTAATATGATGCTACTTACTGCAGTCCAGAGGAGGCTCCATTAAAGTATTTGGGTATTTGCCATACTTATAGGGATGAAGCATTCAGCTGGACCAATTTCTAGGTTAAGAACAGCCCTAGTCACTTGTGACAGGATTATATAAAGACTAAGCAGCCCTGAAACTAGGAAAAATAGATAAATCAGAGGTGAAGTTGGGCCAAAGGCAGATTCAAAAGTGTGCACAAGTCAGTGAAATTAAATAACTTTTTCCTAGTTGTTTTTTAAAGATGAGCTCGTCTCTTATGAAATATTTTGAAAAGGATTCAATTTGGCTACAATTCTGATTTTATATTATATGTTGTACTTTACATGTTTAGCTTTGTTTAATAACTAAGGACTTTTGAATACAAAAACACAATCCTGGGATCAGATTAATCACAGGACAGGATGTGTTTTTAAGTTTATTAATAAACTACATGCTTATTTCTTATTTATTTGCAGCTGAATTTTAAGGAATCTTGTCTCTTTATGAATTTGGTAATTAGAACTGTGTGTTAAATATAAGAAATGTAAACAACAAATAAAAATGACAAATTCTGAAAGAAAAAAACATTTGCATCCCACTGATGGGTCTGGAAATTGGCTGAAGCATTCACTTGCTCCTTCTGCATAATCCCTACCTGAGAGAGGGCCAAATCCCTTCTCCTCCCTTAGAGCAGAGCCACTGAAGCTACAGAAAGTACTTGCCTGAGAAAAACAAGAGCGATTTAGCCCATAATGATCTGTTTGCAACATCAATATTTCCCATAGTAATTCATTCAGATATCCCAGAGGATATTAACTCCAGGCGGAAAGCAGGCAGCTGCAACACATGAAATGTTAATGAAGAAAATGTTTTCCTGCAAATGTCCTTCATAAAATGAAAAGGAAAAAAATACAGAAAATTATACATAAACTCAAATGATTTCTTAATACGACAGAATGCTTTTCAAAGTTTTTCCACAAGGCATCAGCTGCTCTATAAGGATGAATATCTTAGTAGCCTTGTCGATGTGATCAATTTATTTCCTTTACTAAATATAAAGTTTTGCTTACTTCAAGATGTCCACCATGTGTAATCATAATTAAGGGTCTCAGATGCTGTAGCTTGTATGCTAACAAAACCTCCACTAAAGTACAGTGAAAATTTGGGTGCTCGAGGATGCAGGAATAGGCTCCCGGTAAAATGGCAATATTGACAATTGATTTCATTCTGCCCTGCTGTTGGCTTGATTCTATGTAGAGGTGAATTCCCTCAACAACTCTCACTGATTTCAGCTAGAGTTGAAAGCACTCAGCATCTCCCAAAAATGAGTGGAGTTTCTGCAAGGCCCTGATTTGTCCAGGTACAAAAGCACATTACACATTACTTACAGTTAGGCATCTCATTGACTTCACTGAAACTACACATATTCATAAAGCTAGACACATGTTTACAGTACCTTGCTGAATCAGGGCCTATATTCTTAAATACTTTTGAGTTTTTATTGCTATTTTTCTATTTCAAAATGGAACAAGACAGATGATTCTAAGTGGCTCAATACCCTTAATGTTAATTTCTAAACATTCCTAGCTATTTTGTTGAACTAAATAATACACTACAGTAGCTATTTACAGCTTTGCACCACATCCGACTGTAAGTGGTACCATGTAGATACAAGCTTAGGATACAATTATTTAGCAAAAATTATTAAAATGCCTGAATCCAACTTTTCACATACAAAAATATATTTTTATTACAACACTGAACAGTTAAGGCCACAACACTTCAGTAACACTCTGATAAGCTTATCAGTTTCAATTACTAAAATTATCAATAGAAATAAATACCAAAACCATGGTCTTCAAGTCCAAAACCAAGGCAAACAACTTAATTATTTTTTTTAAATCTGTCATCAGTAACAATAAGAAGTCATAATTGTTTTCAAGTATAAATTGCAACATTTGCTTGCAGCCTGTCAAATATATATTCTGACAGCATTACAGTATTATACAAGTAGAGGACTTGGTCTTTCTGCCCTGGTTAGTTGTGGTTTCCTTAGGATTCTTCCTCGTGTGATTTTGGTTTTCATCTTTCCTGTCATCGCCAGATAAATCTGCTTCCTTTCCTTTATCCTTTTCACTTTGGAGTGGCTTTTCAGATTTACCTTCATTGCTGTTATGTACATTTTTCTGACTTGTCAATGACTTTCGCTTAAACAAAGAAAACTAAAATAAAAGATGATATATTACCCCCTCGACAATTAATAGTGATTTTCAAGATGTACAAAAAAGCCTGCACACAAGTTAAAAGTTACACTCTCAAATGAACTTAGGCCACACAATTATGTTTGGTAAAACAAACAAAAACCCCACCTTTCCTAAACGTAAATGTTTCAACAATCTTTTAAAAATGTTAAATGGATAACATTCCTTTGCAGTATTTGTAACCCAAATATTGCAAGTTTTGTCTGTGTGTGTAAGAACGAGAAAGTGAAACTGAGCATACACTGATGAATAACACAAGTTTGTTTACACAGACCAAACTCAGCAAATTGCAAGAAGTAAACAAACAGTGTAAATGATGAAAAATAAGTTAAATTTGTAATATTTTTTTCAATTTTAGCATTAGGGCTCAAAAAATTAATTGCAATAAAAAAACTGCGATCAATCACAGTTTTAATCACACTGTTAAACAATTGAAATTTATTAAATATTTTTGGATGTTTTTCTACATTTTCAAATATATTGATTTCAATTACAACACAGACTACAAAGTGTACAGTGCTCACTTTATTTTTATTTTTTATTATAAATATTAGCTCTGTAAAAACGATAAAAGAAATAGTATTTTTCAATTCACCTCATACAAGTACTCTTGTGCAATCTCTTAATCGTGAAAGTGCAACTTATAAATATAGATTTTTTTTGTTACATAACTGCACTCAAGAACAAAACAATGTAAAACTTTAGATCTTACAAGTCCACTCAGTCCTACTTCTTGTTCAGTCAATTGCTAAGAAAAACAAGTTTGTTTACCTTTACGGGTGATAATGCTGCCCGCTTAATTACAATGTCACCTGAAAGTGAGAACAGGCATTCGCATGGCACTTTTCTAGCCAGCATTGCAAGGTATTTATGTGCCAATACACTAAACATTTGTTTGCCCCTTCACACGTCGGTCACCATTCCAGAGGACATGCTACCATGCTGATGATGCTCGTTAAAAAATAATGCCTTAGTTAAATTTGTGACTGAACTCCTTGGGGGAGAATTGTATGTCTCCTGCTCTGTTTTACCTGCATTCTGCCATATATTTCATGTTATAGCAGCCTCGGATGATGACCCAGCACATGCTGTTCATTTTAAGAACATTTTCACTGCAGATTTAACAACATGCAAAGAAGGTACCATTTGAGATTTCTAAAGATAGCTACAGCACTCGAACCAAGGTTTAAGAATCTGAAGTGCCTTCTAAAATATGAGAGGGATGAGGTGTGGAACATGCTTTCAGAAGTCTTAAAAGAGCAACACACTGATACCAAAACTACAGAACCCAAAACATAATAAAGAAAAGCAACCTTCTGCTGGTGGCATCTGACTCAGATGATGAAAATGAACATGCGTTGGTCCACACTGCTTTGGATCATTATTGATCAGAACGTGTCATCAGCATGGATGCAAGTCCTCTGGAATGGTGGTTGAGGCATGAGGGGCATATGAATCTTTTGTGCAACTGGCACGTAAATATTTTGCAACACCAGCTACAACAGCATGCGAATGCCTGTTTCTCACTTTCAGGTGACACTGTAAACAAGAAGCGGGCAGCATTATCTCCTGCAAATGTAAACAAACTTATTTGTCTGAGCGATTGGCTGAACAAGAAGTAGGAATGTGTTGACTTGTAGGCTCTAAAGTTTTACACTGTTTTATTTTTGAATCCAGGTTTTTTGTACATAATTCTATATTTGTATGTTCACCTTTCATTATAAAGAGACTGCACTACAGTACTTGTATTAGGTGAACTGAAAAATACTATTTCTTTTGTTTTTTACAGTGCAAATACTGGTAATAAAAATAAATATAAAGTGAGTACTACCTTTGCATTCTGTGTTGTAATTGAAATCAATATATTTGAAAATGTAGAAAACATCCAAAACTATTTAAATAAATGGTATTCTATTATTAACAGTGTGATTAATCGCACGATTAATCGCGATTAATTTTTTTAATCGCTTGACAGCCCTATTAAGAATTTAAAGCCAGATCCTGGAAACGTAGTTCATGAACAAAGGCAAACCATTTAGTTACATGCTTAATTTTAAGTATGTGTGTAGTTCTAATGAAGTCAATGACAACAGACTTTGACGTTAATGGGACTACTCATGTGCTTAAAATTAAGAGTGTGTTTAAATGCTTTGCTGGATTGGGGACAGAGTGCTCAGTACCTTGAATGACTGAGCATTTGAGTTCCAACCCTTCAAGGGGCTCCATGTAAGGTGGTCACCTGCAGCCCTGTAAAGAACTCCATGGACATCAACTCTGTATGTTTTCAGCTCAGTAAAACTCAAAATGGTGAATTATTTCCTTCGAGGTACACTGTATAAGATCAAATAAGAATTATAGGCCTGATCCAACTTTCACCGAAGTCTTCAGAAAGACTTACAATGACTTTAACAGGAGTTGAATCAGATCCTAAATCTGTGGTAGACCCTGCAAACCCTGAAAAATATTAGCTCTTAATTATGCAAAGATCAGTCTCATTCAAGTCAATACGAGTATTCATGTAAGTAAGTTTGCAGGATCAGTCTCGTCATTTGGACTATAAAAAATTTTTAATCTAAAAATCCCAGACAAGTTCTCTAATTTATTCATTGTCAGTTATACAAGAAAACAATTGTGTATCTGATTTAAACTAGCTGTCGAAATTGATGAAACAACACTACTTCCTTTTTGCTTTTTTGCCAGGATATGGAGAATTGTGTGTGTCAGAGGGTTCATATGCATGTTCTTTAGGAACTGCCTAAAATACTTTGGAAAAGACAGACGGTTATTTAAAAATCTGGGGTTGGAGTAAAATGTTTACTTTTCAAGCAGGTGATACTCACCTTTTGACAGTGTTCTATTCTGCTGTTATTCATATTATCTGCATTCATTTTAGTTTAGAGAATAGCCTATTTTAAGCTTCAATCGGAGAGCAACAAAGCCCTAGAAAACTTCGTTTAAAACGTACAATACGTTGTATCTATAAGTATTTTTACACTAAGGTGTCTGACAAAGAGATTCCAGTAATAAATTCACCACTTAACCTTCTTTTACTGGCACAGAATTGTTTTCAACTTCACAATACTTCTCCCCCACCGTATCTGATGTATACCCCAAAACTCAAACCTCCGGGGGTTGGGGAAGGAGGTGAGACTTTGTGGGTTGCTTGGAGCAAAGCAACATATATTCAAATAAAATTTTAACGGAATGCTTCTTTGTACCTGTTTTTTATTATGTGATTTCTGGGTTTTAATATTATCTTGTTTTCTACAGTCTTCTGCTTTGGAGGAGATTTTTGAACATGGGGGATAAAATCCTGGCTCCATTTAAGTCAATGGGAGTTTTGCCATCATTTGAGTTCAGTGGGGTCAGGATTTCACCTGGGTGTTTCCATAGCAATAGGTCCTGTATGTCAAATGCATTGGCTACTTCTTCTCAGAGTTCTTTACATTCCCAATACTGCAAATAGGACACAGGCCCTTGAAATGGGGTTCAGTAGTCTCTCTACATCTTCCAAACCAGGTTTGTCTTCCTTCTTAGGTCCCTTTCCCCTACAGAGTGTGTCTACACAGCCCGGGGCAGTCAGAGTCCTAGCCTGGGGTCCATACACTCCGGCTTATGCTACTGTGTAGACAGCCCTTTGAAATTGTGCCTTGGGCTGGAGCATGGGCCCCTCCGTAGGCTTCAGAGCTCAAGATCCAGCCTAAGCCGCAACCTCAAGCACAGTCCACACAGCTGTTTTTAGCACAGTAGCACGAGTCCTGTGAGTCCAAATCTATCGAACCTGGGCTGGGAGCCTCACTGCTGCAAGCTGTGTAGACATACCCAGAAGCTCTTCACCAGTCATACTGTGCTGAACCCCCACCTCCACCCTGAGTATTCCTAAGGCTGTTCATATGCCATCAGGTCCTCTCTTCCTCTGATTAGCCTCTGGTTCACTCCTTGCTCTACTAAAAATATGGGCACAGTAGGGAATAACCAGAGGAAGAAGAGAAACCTGGTGTAAAAGCAGCATAAACCACTGCTACACTGTGGGACATATAGAAACATGACAAGATGGTATGACACAAAAATGGAAATATCCGAACAAGTGAGATGTACAGCAAATGTAGGATACTTAAGAGATAAGCCTGCCATCAGTGGTCCAAGTCTGGATATTTCCCCTGACTATGTCTCAACTCTTCCATTATGGGGCTGTGGCTCATAATGCTTTCACATGATGTCTTATCCTCTCTATCTGCATATTGGAGTCAATGGAATCACTCGTGCAATAAGTTACTGTTGAATGTGAGTAAGGTTCTCAGGCCTTCTGCAATTCCAAGAATGATCCACAATAATGGATACTCTTCAACAGTAGCCGGCACATACAAAGGGATGTTCACTGGGGCTTTTCAATCAGCTATGATGATGAGGCTCACTTGTGTGGACAAGGATCAAAAATTTCAGTAAGTGCTCACCATTATTATTATTATTTTATTATTAGTCAAATTACACAGACCTGAAAACTCAGGTGGTTTACCTTTTTAGTCCTTCCAAGTATTCCTCCAGATATTCTGTCAGTACTACTTTCCGAAATTGCCCCTAAAGAACTGTTCTCAGGATGAGTGTCGGTATTTTCTCTTTCTAAAACAACACAAGACATTACATTGAACTTTTTTTCACAACTGCAAAAAGAAACCTGTGCTTTTAATTATTTTTAACACTCAGACACACAAATTAGTTCTGCATCTAAAATGGAACAGACAGAATAAAATATTCAGTTCCACTTGATACCCAGCCAAACCTGAACAATTCTGTTTTTATTTTTCTCATTTCTATTTATATCTGTTTACCATACCCCAGATGTTTGATTTTCAAAAGCAGAATTAATACTGAGGGCACTGGCAAATATGTAAACTATTTTGACTAATCCACCTACAACTGCATATGGTTAACAGAAGACAGAGTATATTGCACATGAATTTAGAAAACGTATCTTAACCAGCAGAGAGTGACTCCTGGTGCAAGAGTTGTATTTCAGCACAAGTCTTTGTTCTGTAGCAACAATACAGAAAGAGACAGAATTCATCTTGATTTTCATACGTCCAAGTTGCCCTCTAGTGCTAGCTTTAATGATATAAATCCCCCTCCTAGAATCAAAGAACCCCAGATTTATTGGGGGTTGGAAAAATATTTAAAGATCTGTTCTGGGTTACCTAATTGCAGCGCAATATTGGAGCGAGATGCCCTAGCTTCTTTGTAATTAGATGGAGTGATGTGTTACTTTATGATGCATCACTGATTTCCATAAAGGCAGTAATCATTTTTTATTCCAGAAGTTGAAGAAAAAAAAAAGGCTCGATGTTTTTCATTCCAACATGTACATTCCAGTATCTTTCCAAAGGACAGCATAATCTTCCCTGATATTCTCAAACCTGTAAAAAAGCTTTAGGCTTACTATATCAATGTTGCTGCATACTGTCCAACAATTCTATATTTCATCTAAGATGGTTATCCCTTTCAGTAGTGGTGGTAGGAAACAGATTCCTACTTACAGTGAGTTACATCCAAGTGGTGAAAAGGCTTATGAATTGGCCTTCAGGGAAAATGCCACACAGTGCTAGGGCATTAGCACTGGTGATGAAGGGGTGGGTGGTCTGGAACAATAAGGTGCAGGAAAAGTGCATCTGGAATGCTGCAGCATTGTCTGCCCCTTTCTTGAAGACTGAGGGTGAAATCCTGGCCCCGCCGAAGTCAGTGGGAGTTTTGCCATTGACTATAATGGGGCTAGGATTTCACCTGATTAGGTATACCAATTTAGTCAGTTTCTTGGTTCATTAATGTCAGCCAGGAAGGTGAGAACAGCTCACTCTCCAAGAACTTAAAGGAGTGTCCTGGAGCCTGAGAATCAGCTGGAAGGGGAGCCTGATGATTCAAATATGAAGCTAAGCAATCAGGACAGAAGTATCCCTCCACACAAGGTATTGTGCTTTAGTTGATATTTTATTTTATCCTTGTCCACTGTGTATGAATAGGGAAGGATAGGGTTACTCTGAGCCTGGGACATCTGTACCCCAAAGCAACACCCTGGCACCCCCACATCTACCATGGTGATATAATTATGATGTGTTTTGTACACAGTATGCCTTGTGGGGTACATTTTAAAAGCCTTGATCTGTTGAGCATTAATATCCTGTTGCATTGTATGTGCTCTCATTTTATGTGAAGCTTACTATGTATGTGTTTCTGAAATATGTTGTGAGGTTGGGAACACCCAAAAGCAGCCTTTCAGGTACAACAATGAAGAAGCCAGATAGTGTTGATGGCCCATTAAGGGGAATATACACACTACTAAGGATTACCCCAGGAACTATACAATGGAAACCTCTCTGAGATAGCATATACACAATGGAGGCTGTTTGACTCCCATCACAGCAAAGGATCTTTCCAGCAATCCAGCTATAAAAGGGGGAAGTGACATCATCATTTGGCCTCATTCCTCCACAACTCAACACCTGGAAGCGGGTCAGGAGGAAAAAGACTTTGAATGGGGGAGGGTTGTCCCAGGCTGGAAAGGCGTTCCAACCTGTGTATGGAAGATCTGTAAACTGCTTGTACTATCGGGGTGAGACAGTGCTTGATTCAAATCCTGTCTAGTTAATAGAACTCAGATTGCGAATTTGTTTTATTTCTTAGGTAACCAACTTTGATCTGTACGCTATTACTTATAATCACAAAAAATCTATCTTTCTGTGGTTAATAAATCTGTTTTATAGTTTTTTACCTAAACAGTGTGTTGTTTGAAGTGTAAGGGAAATCTGCTCGGGAATAGGTGTGTTGTCCTCTCCACATTGAGGGACTGGGTAATAAACTTACACTGGTCAGGCTTCTGACCAGGGCAAGATGGTACAACTCTGGCATCCTAGGCTGGGGAGCTGGGGGGAATTGGCTGGAGCCACTCTATTGTGAGTGGCCGGTGAAAGCATTAATGTAAGTCACCTGTGTGTGTCCCTACCTGTGAATGTTTGTGTGAGTGCAGGACCTGGAGGGGTTTGCAGCTTGTCACATAATCACAGTGTGAGAGGGAGCCCACGTTGGTAAGAGAGAGAGCTCAGCAGTACCCCACTTCCAGGTTGCACCTTGGGGAACCTGTCACATTATACTCATGGACTCTCTCTTCACCACTATTGTAAAGTGGAGGTGGGCACCACTGCAGGTGGAATTTCCCAGAATTCCCAGAGGAAAATGGGCAAAGTTGACTGGAACTGTGATTTCCCCCCTGTTCCTTTTTTCCAGCTGAACTATTACAACAATGCAGCAAACCCCCAGTCCTAACCCTGTTATCTCTGCAATCAGTTCCCTGTAGTTGGCCCAGGACACTGCACAACTAATAGATTTGGCTTCAATAATGTCTCTCTTGCAGATTTAAAATTGGCAGTGTTCAGTTACTATTTCAGCAGACAATAGGAGTGGAATAACTCTCCTCAGATACGGAAACTGATGGTATGCTAGACGTATGAGTGCAAAAGCATACAGAAACTTTTGAAAAATTTTACCCTGAGTATTTTAGGAGCCTAAGTCCAATCTTCAAAAGTAACTTAGACTCTTAGAAATCTAAATCTCAGACTTATGCTCCTAACTCACTCTTGAAAGTGGAACTTAGGTTCCTAGCTCATTCAGGTGCTTTTGAAAATGTTACCCATAATCTTTTCAAGAATTTTGAAATCACATTTTAATTAATCCACGACTGGCAGCCTGTCTTTCCCCCTAGTATGGTAATGAAGGCAGGCAGCTAATCAGACCCTACAGTTTTCATAACCATATAGATTTCATTTCATCCTTTGTTTCTGAGTATTCCCCATACAGTTTCATCCATAATAATTACTAGAAGGACATCTGAAAAAGGCAGGGTGCAAAGCTCTCTAGTGCTCCCTCCCCTCAAAAGTATATAGTCAACTAAGGGGGTGGGGAGAAGATATCTGTCTGTCTGACACAGGATCCCCACAAGGTGAGGCAAGGAAACACCTGGCAAAACGAGTTCCCTATGCCAAACAGTCAGCACAGATACCGGCCTTTACAATTAGTTTGTCATCTGTGAACTAGAACTTCGATGATTTCTCCTTTAATGGTTTGCCTGTGGCAACAAGCATGTAAAAAAATACAGAATATTCCTGCAAGGAGCATGCCACTATGATAAGCTTCCCCTACTACACCCCCGAAAATATCTTGTGAAGAAAAGATTTCTTTCTTGGAGGCAAATAAAATTGGTAACTTTGCTGTGTTGCTAGCTTTAGAGCATTGCTTTGTGTGTCTTACAAAGTGTCTGCCTCATTTAACATTTATATAACCTAGATACATATATAAATGTTGCCAGGTAAAATATGTAGTTTGTATTTAGAAGTGCTGTAATGGTTAGATTCTGAATGGAAGGTTCCTGTACCTTGCTGAAGTATTTTCTCTTCTTGGGTGGTCTTCTCTTCCTATAAATAATAAATAAAATAATGAAATCTTTATACTGTACTTTCAAACCCTTTAAAAAAACTATATTTAACTGCAGCATGTGAAATTCATTGTATTTTTTTTAAATATTGCATTATTAGTATAATTCCTGAAAAAATATAGTACAACTGTAGGTATTACTTTATTGGTAAAAGATGAAATAAGATAAAAAAATAACATACCTGTTCATCTAAGCAGCCAATCTTAAAAAAATAGGAAATATATTTATTTAGACAAAGCATTCCAGAATATTTCTTTTGGCTACAAAATAAAATAACTGAATTATAACTGCACTCCTATTGCTATTAAAACCACATACGAATGAAAAACTAATTTGGACTCAAACATAGGGGTAAGTTTTCAATGCTGAGCACAGGTATTTAACAGCATGCATGTTATAAGGAATTATACAGCTAATTCCTTCACAGTAAACAATTTAAAAGAAGTGCATGCTTTACCTCTGTAGTGGTGTTATTGCTTCTTTCTCCCTCAGGTGTTTTACTGTCACGTTCCTCCTTTTCATGCACTTTCCCATCATCACTGCTCCCTCCCTCCTCCTCCTCCTCTTCTTTGTCTGTTATTTCTTCTTCTTCTTCGTCAATCTCTTCATCTTCAGAAGTTTTTTGATCCTGTGACAAAATGGAAAAAATAATTTTTTTAAAAACTGTGTTCTGCAGCAATAGTAACCAGTACTCTACAACAGCCCTATGCCTCATATTGGAATGGATTCAGGTACCCTGGCCCATGTTCCCTTCACAGGCAGCTGAAAATAGGAAAAGACAAAAGCATTTTATTTCAGAGTATTATGAGTCCTTATTTAGGCTCTGACCTTGGAGTCTTATTTTAATGTCTGTTTTAAGTACAAAACTCAACTCAGCCTTAATTCTGGAGCTGTGGCCAGTAATAGCCTTTTTCTGACGAAGATGTCCCCTTACAACATAAAAACAACGAATGTGAATGCTTTTTTGGAAATCCTGGATAATTCTTTTTATTTGATATCTGTGTGAATAATGAAATTGATAATGCTTCCAACACTTTAACAGAAGGAACCTGTTAAATACCAGGTCTATTTTTCAAAGAGTTGATTCAAATACTAAAGTCACAGCAAATGGAATGCTCTGATTCCCTTTAGACGCTATCATTCACAGCATGTTTGAGCTCAACCCAGTATAGCACCTCAATATATCTAGGCTTTTCTACAGATACTGTTTTGTTTTTATGATAACCATGGGGTATTATGAAAAACTAATTTACATCAAAGAACATGTCTCTGTGAAAACTGTTACTAAGAAAGCAACGAGTAATTTGTATGATTTACATGACATCATTTAGTCCAATCACCTTTGCTGTGCTAGTTATACAGTTTTGGTAACATGAAATGTAACTTTTTTTAAAAACAGAAACATTCTTTCTCCTATTGCAAATCTACGATGAACATATGCATATCTACGATGAACAGCCTAATCTAAAATTCTAGCTTGGATTTCTAATGACAAAGCAGTGGAGCTCTGCTCTCAGTTGATCATTTCACCAGAAAACGTAGACGATATTACATCCTTGCACTGTGTGGTTGTTTAACTATCGTTGTTAAAATACATTTAGATGTTCCAACTAACATTTCACAGAAACATTCACTGAGCTATTGAACATAACACAACGATCCCAGTTGTAACTCAAATCAGTGGTTCCCAGCCTTTTTTTTTTTTTTTGATGCCCTGTTTTGATTTGTTGGTGGATGGGCACTCCTTACCTGGTAGCCTCTCACTTCATGCTCAGGCATAGTTGCTGTGTCTCTCCTATTTTCTGTCCATTCTCTCTGGTTTTTTCCTCCTCTCCTTTTTGGCTACACTCTCATAGTTGCTTACTGTGCCCATTCAGGATACTTGCTGCTCAGGGCAAAGGCCATTCATTGGTGGTTCTGTGGGGCCGGGGCACAGGATCTTGCAGCCATGCTGTATATCATGAATGTGGACACAAATGCCTAAGCTGATGAGCTCCTTCCTGGATGAGTTGCTCTTATGAACAGGTGTATTTGAGGCTGCTGCAGGAGCAGGAAGGGTAGGTAGATTTCAGGAAGCTGCCCACCACTTTTCCCACATCAGCATGTTTGCAGAGAGCAATCAGAGTGGATCCAACTTCATGCAGCTTTCCATACTTCCACTGCTTTCGTCTGCTCCACTTTTCATGGACTAGTCTAGTGCTCTCCCACCCGCAGAGACTTGTCCCCAGGCTGAAAACACTGCCTTCCGTACACACAGGCAGCTTGCACTTAAGTCAATGCATGCATATAAATCTAAGGGCAGAATCAGGCCAGCTCCCTTTAAACAATGATAAAATCCTGAGCTTGACTATGCTAAGTTTATGTTATCTAACTGCGTGTTTCATTATTTCAAAGCAGAGAAAATGTACGGTTTCAGAGTAACAGCCGTGTTAGTCTGTATTCGCAAAAAGAAAAGGAGTACTTGTGGCACCTTAGAGACTAACCAATTTATTTGAGCATGAGCTCAAATAAATTGGTTAGTCTCTAAGGTGCCACAAGTACTCCTTTTCTTTTTTAGAGAAAATGTAAGTTTTCAGCAGCATAATTCCACCTTTTTTAGAGTGGTGGTGTTCATGACCTGACAGATTTTGTCAGCTTCATGTCTAAGGCCTAGACTGTACCCCTATGATCCATACTTGGATTTCCCCACTTTCACATCAAGGGAGTGGGAGATGCAGGAGTCACTTCTGTAGCAGCAACCCCCTCACTCTCTAGAACCTGCAGATGGCACTTTGCCTTCTGGGCAGGGAGTGAGTATAGGGTGGAAGCTGGACCATATGGACACACATCATCCCCACACTGACCCCACGGAGATTAGCTGGAAAGGGAAATGCAGCTTGGGAGTATATTAATTTTCCTACTGAGCCCCATCTCTGTTGGGGAATGAAATTTAAGCAGTGGTCATGGGCAGTCATGACTAGGAAGAATCCTTGGTAATACAGCAGTATTGTAAGCGTACTACGAGGAAGACGGGAAATGCAGGGGAGCTTCTGCTGATGTGGATGGCCCTGACCTTTGGGGATCTATGAAATTTGTAACGGGCACTGCAGCTCACTCTGCTGGGGGCAAGCCCCATTACCAACATAAAATCTGCAGTGTTGCCTTCACTGAGATTCCCTCCCCATTTGCTCCCTCCAACCGATTTCACTGCAGTTTCATTTAGTTCTATAAGAAGAGTCTTCATAGCAGGCAATGAAAAAACATCCTCATACACAACCTTGAAAAAAGAAAAAAGGAATCATAAGCAACCCAGATGCAATATTTTGTTTTGCCTACATTTCAATAGAATAATAGAATCACAGAAGATTAGGGTTGGAAAAGACCTCAGGAGGTCATCTAGTCCGACTCCCTGCTCAAAGCAGCACCAACCCCAAGTAATATTTTACATTACTATTGGGACTTGCAAACTCGCATATCATTGTCAGGATTCCTGGAAGCAGGCTGTGCAGATTGCAAATGGAGAGCCAACTGTGAATTCCACATAGTGGGCAGTCATCAGTTTGAGAATGTTGACAAGCTGCCAGCAAAGATCATGCCTGCTGGCTTTTGGAACAAATATGAGAAGACTGACAAGAGGTTTCAGAAGGGTATGATTTTGTTGCTGAATTTTTTGTTTGTACTGAGGAACACATTAATCATCAAGTTACAAATAACAGTCTCTTACACACCAGCTTAATTTCTATATCATTATTTATTCAAGCATCTATAAAGCAATGGAAAAAATACTAAGTGTTCAGCAAAAGCTGACTTTTTCAGGCCAGCTCTGAGGGGGAAGAATTTACAGATAAAAAATTGGAAATGTTTTCATCTCACAGTTCTGTGAAATTGCTGTGTTATTTATCTTTAGTATGATACACATGCAGGCCTGGATCTGCAAGTGCTTGTACATTGCATAAGGTGACTGTACTCCAGTGCATATGTGAGAGGAGATTACACATATGCACAGGACTGGATGTCTTTCTAAAAGGTATGCTCCACCTCAGCCAGATGTTATAGAGTTGATGTAGAACTTAATGGGTGAAATTCCATGCCTTGTGTGGAAGGTACGACTAGACGGTCATAATGGTCCCTTTTGGCCTTAAAAATCTATACATCAGTAAGGGTGAAATACACCACTGTGCAATGGGCCAGCAAAAGGCCTATGCAGCACTTAAGTCCCACTTTAGCCCTATTTTGAGGAATTAAGTGGTTCATAGGTCTTGTGCTGGTCCATTTCACAAGGGTAAATTTCATCCCACAAACCTAGTCCTCTCCAAACTGCAAAGAAGATTAAAGCCCTGATGGGCCTACTCCCTTGGACTTCAGAGCACAAAGTTTAAACAAAAAGGAGTGTGGGTCATAGGCAGAAAATGGGCATGTCTCAGGAGATACTGCATTAAGTGTGTGTGACCCACCAATCTCTTAATGCCAACTAGCAAGAGGATGCACAAGGGTTACAGGGATCTCTTGGGTCTGGCATGTACATTCTAGTTTACCAAAGTGTGTCATGTGAAGTCTCAAATAAAAGTCAGTGTCACACTGATCACCAATATAACATGTGCGGATGTTGTGTAAGGAAGCATCTACACACTCAGAAAATTATGTTCTTAAACTCTGCGTCTAGCGACTGGCCACCAGCAAAGGTGAAAAACAAGTTTGCTGCCAGACAAGCAAAGTTTATCTAGGTAGCTGTTTACATGTAAATTAAGTATTGTATAGTTCAGAATGGGTCCCCTCCCACCAGTCTGAACAGAATGCTAATGGAAGATTGTAAGAACTTCAAGAAAGACAAGTAACAAGAAGAAGCAAACAGCTGGGGGCAGAACCCTATCTTGAAGTGCACATTGAAGGTTTTGGAACTCTCTTTAAAGTACAAAAAAAGACACCCTATCATCCTTCATCTAGGAAATAAACTGACAGCACATTCTCTTAATGAAAGAGGGGCTTCAAATAAGCTTGGATGAAAACGTTGGATAGTAACTGCGGGTGAGATAGCTTCGTTAGACAGGAGGTAAACCTGTTAGTTAAGGTTAGTCTCCAGGAAGTATGTTATGATTTTGTTTTATATGTAACTGTTTGTTTCCAATATTCTTACTCGCTACCACTTGAATCTTTGTTCTTTGACAATAAACTTATCCTGGTTTTCATACTGAATATATCAAAGTGCTGTGGTGTTAACCAAAGTGGTTGAGTTGAATCTTATGAGCTACTGTATACTGTTCCTTTGGGAACAGTGGGCCAGGTAATACTGTGAGTGTCCAGTGGACAAGGGGCTGGACACTACCAGGAAGGCTCGGAGGGCTCGGGATTTGATGTGTGCCTTTCGCTAACCTGTCCAGAGAGAGAGAGAGAGAGAGAGCACTGCAGAGGCTACCACACGCTGGTGGGTCAGGGAGCTGAGCCACAGCAGGCACAGACAAGATACCCTTATGCTAAGGGCAGGTGGTGCTGAGGTGCCACAAAACCCTAGGCACCCCTGGGGAGTGTCACAGTGTGATCCTCAGCACGCAAATGGGAAAATTCTGTCTTACCTCTGAATTTGTATTCTAGGACGCTCCATGTCAGACAGATTTCACACTGCGGTGTTCCCAGTCTCCATGGAAACCAGAC